CGGGGGAAGAACGGTATAACATAAACTTTTTCGCTGTCGGGGGCGCCTGTCCCTGGGCGGCTGGAAAGTTCATACCCTTACGGTGGCACCGTAGGGGTATACATTTTCCAGCCGCCCAGGGGCAGGCGCCCCCGACGGCGAAAAAGTTTATGCTTTACCGTTCTTCGCTCGCTGACTCAAGGGCAGATGACAACCAACCCGTATCCAGTCGGACTCGTTTGGACAGGACACGCGAAAGGACACAAGACCCTTCCGAGGTCCACATCGCCACAGGCACTTAGGAAGCGTGGGTCGCGAGACACAGGACACGAGGGTACCCTTGATTTGGCAGGGTCGACCTACTCATCTGGGCCGACTGTGGTTTGGATGCGCGATAAGGATGCGAAAGGGCCTTGGAGGGTCGTGGCAGCGTTTTTCAAGCGATGCTGGTCAGCGAAAAGTCGCTCAGGATGGGACGAAGGGGCCAAGGAGCAGGAGGAGGAGGAGGATGAGGAGGAGGAGCAGGAGGAGGAGGAAGAGCAGGAGGGGGAGGATGAGGAGGAGGAGGAGGAGGAGGAGGAGGAGGAGAAGGAGGAGGAGGAGGAGCAGGAGGGGGAGGGGCAGCCTTGGAAAGGTTGCGCGTCCCTACGATGCGGGTGACTGCACTCTCACGGTGGGAGGCTCGCATGATACAGTAGGGGCCCGACCACGAGCGACCTTCCACGAGAAACCCTACCCTGAGACCCCAAGGCATCCATTGACTTGTAGTGTGGGAGCGTCGCGCTTTCCATCGCGAAACCATCGGAACCCAAGAGACCCAGGGCACCCTGGAGGCAAGCAGGGTGTTGCCTGGTATGGGCCCCCACTGTACTGCCCCAAACCATATCTGAAAGATAATCGTAATCGTCGCGCTGTTGCCTGCGCAAGCTCTCCTGCTGTCTCCGCATCGCGGCTTCTCCTCTTCGCCCTGACGGAGGCCTCCCTCACGCCCCCCGCTCTACCTTCTCCGCGTCCTCCCGCATGTTCCCCCCCCGCTCAGCCTCCTGCCCCGTCCTGCAAGGGCGCGCGCCTTGGTTTTCCCTGGCGCCGTCGCCGCCTCGGCCGGCAGTGGGATTCCGCTGGCCGCCTCGGGCTACTAGCATTAGGTCGGGCATGTCCCCCTGCAGGCGGATTTTGGCAGATCTTTCTTTTATGTGTATATATATATATACACATACATATAATGTTTATATATATATATATATATATATTCACAAAAAAAAAAAACGTAGTCGAAACATACCTGAAACATCGCCCCCTGACTTTTTCTTTTCTATTGTTGAACATTCCCCCTGTAGAGCGACACGCCCGACTCAAGGCTACCAACACGACGTGCAGGCCTCCAAAGGGCGGGGACTCCCGCCCGAGACCCTCCCTCGCTTCCCCCTTCACAGCCCCGGCTCACGCTCGAGATCTCCTCAACATTCAATCAAGGGTCCAGGGACACACACACACACACATCAATCTGCACAAATCCACGGTTTCCCCACATTTTCCTATATTATCTGGGTTCCCGTCTTCCCCCCCACTTCCTATAGTTTCCTATATTTTCGGGGGAATCGCCAATAAACTGTGTCTGTGTGTTTTTGATCCCTCCTGAGTTCAAGCCTCAGGAACCCAACTGTTCCGACAATTACAAGTTTTCCGAAGGCCGCTTCGGATCACGGACATGACATGCGGGCCCCACAGGGAGGGGGCTCCCGCTCGAAAGTTCGTCGCGTTCGACTCACTGACCAGGCTCACGCTTCAAATTTCCTCAATATTCAAACATTGGGGGCCCAGAAGCGACGCTGGTTACAAGTTTTCCCATGAACTAGAGCACGCACCCCATTGGGATGGGGCTCCCGCTCGAAACCTCCTTCCGTTTCATCCACAGACGATGCTCCAACTCAAGATTTCAAAACAAAAAAATCTGTCTTCAGCAGCCCAACCGAGACGACAATTGCATGTTTTCCGATGGTCGCTCCGGGTGAATCACATGACGTGCGGGCCCCATAGGTAGGAGGCTCCCGCTCGAGACTTCCTCGCGTTTCGTTCACAGACAAGGCTCCCACTCGAGACTTCCTAAATCTGAATGCGTGGTGGTGACGATGATGACCATGCTTTGATGGTGACCAAATCATGGTTGATGCTCATGATTGCATATTGTTAGTGACGATGATGATGGTGATGCGATAGCAGTGCCATGATGATAACAATGGTGATGGTGATAGCGGTGGTAGTGCCATGATGATAGCGATATGGAAACAGATGCGGAGGACGCGTCAGATACCCAGGGAGAACGAAAACCCTCCCCAGGATGCGGGGAACATCACAACAGAAACAACAGCTTGGGAGGTCCGCGCAGAGTCCTTGGATCGGCGCTGGACCCCCCTGACGCCAAATGGTTTCCTACCCCCCTCCTCAGGCCTCCGACGTCCTGGTGGTTTGACGCGGGTCACCCGGATCGTCGTCGTCGGCGTCGTGATCGTCGTCGTCGTCGTCGTCGGCGTCGCCGTCGTCGTCGTCGTCGTCGTCGTCGTCCGTCGTCCGTCGTCGTCGGCGTCGGTGTCGGCGTCGTCGTCGTCGTCGTCGTCGGCGTCGTCGTCGTCGTCGACGTCGGCGTCGTCGAGCGTCGTCGTCGTCGTCCGTCGACAGTCTTCGTCGTCGGCGTCTTCGTCGTCGACCGTCGTCCGTCGTCGTCCATCGTCGTCGTTATCGTCGTCGTCGGCGGCGTCGGCGTCGTCGATGTCGTCGTCGTCGTCCGTCGTCCGTCGTCTGTCGTCGTCGACGGCGTCGGCGTCCGTCGTCGTGGTCGTCGTCGTCGTTTTCGTCATCGTCGTCGTCGTCGGCGGCGGCGTCGTCGTCGTCGTCGATGTCGTCGCCGTCTTCGTCGTCGTCGTGGTCGTCCGTCATCCGTTGTCCGTCGCCCGTGGCCGTCGTCGGCGTCGGCGTCGACGTCGGCGTCGGCGTCGGCGTCCGCGTCGTCGTCGTCGTCCGCGTCGTCATCGTCGTCGTCGGTTGTCTGTCGTTGTCGGCGTCAGTGTCGGCGTCCGTCGTCGTCCGTCGTCGTCGTGGTCGTCGTCGTCCATCGTCGTCGTAGTCGTCCGTCGTCCGTCATCCGTCGTCCGTCGTCCGTCGTCCGTCGTCGTCGTCGTCGTCGTCGTCGTCGGCGTCGGCGTCGGCGTCGGCGTCGGCGTCGTCGTCCGTCGTCGTCGTAGTCGTCGTCGCCGTCGTCGTCGTCTTCGTCGTCGTCGTCCGTCGTCATCGCCATCGTCGTCGTCGTCGTCGGCGTCGGTGTCGGCGTCCGTCGTCGTTGTCGTCGTCGCCGTCGTCGTCGTCGTCGTCGTCGTCCGTCGTCGTCCGTCGTCGTCGTCGTAGTCGTCGTCAGCGTCTTCGTCGTCGTCGTCGTCCTCGTCGTCGTCGGCGGCGGCGGCGTCGTCGTCGTCGTCCGTCGTCCGTCGTCCGTCTTCCGTGGCCGTCGTCGTCGTCGTCGTCGTCGACGTCGGCGTCGGCGTCGTCGCCAGCGTCGGCGTCGGCGTCGTCGTCCGTCGTCGTCGTCGTCGTCCGTCGTACGTCGTCGTCGTCGGCGTCGGCGTCGGCGTCGGCGTGGTCGCTGGGCTGGTCGGGCTATCAGGTCCCTTTTGGCGATCAATGGGCGGTTCGGGGTCGATGCGTCCCCCTCTGAGCCTACCCTCCCGTAACGTTGCCCCAAACCAGGAATGAACAATGGATCCCTGAACCTTTCTGACCAGCCGTTGCGAAACAGCCTCACCGCAACCCTCGAGTCTCGAACCCCTGAGTCAACTTCCCTAACGTTCCCCCTTGGTCTTCAAATCATGACTTGGCTCTGTGGCGACCGTCCGGGAGGATCCGGGCACCCCCAAAAACGCTCTCGGCGAGGCGCAGCAGCTGCTGCAGAGCACCCCCAAGCTGGACCACCGCCGAGTACCGACGAGATAATCCGAAGACCGCTCACCTCAAATCCGAAACCTCGAACCTATACACTTCCATCCCCTTCCTTCCCCCCCCCCTGGCCTTGGACGCCACGTCGTGCGCCCGCTTCTCAGAGGAGGAGGAGGACGAGGCGGAGGAGGAGGCGGAGGAGGAGAAGGAGGACGAGGAGGAGAAGGAGGAGGGGGAGGAGGAGGAGGGGGAGGAGGAGGAGGAGGAGGAGGAGGAGGAGGAGGAGGAGGGGGAGGAAGAGGAGGAGGACTCCACCGAGAACCCAGCGGTGAGGTGCCCACCCCTGGGCGGCAGTGCGCCCGAGCGGCACCCGGCACGGTGCGGCGCGCGGGCGTGCCGCCGCCCAAAGGGGTCGGTCCCGCCTCAGTGGGCTCTCGGTGGCGGTGGTCCGCCTGTCTCCTCGGATCGCAGAGCAACTTTGAAGGGGCCCCAGGACACCCGAAGAAATACACACAAATAAAAATACTCCCCATAGTTGCCCTTATTTTCTGGGTTTCTGCTTTCCCCCCACTTCCCATATTTTCCATATGTTCTGGGGAACCGAGGATTAATTGTGTCTGTGTGTTTCCTCTCCTGAAGCTGAGCACCTCACCCTCGTGCGCTGTATCTCACCGCGGCGAAGCTGCTCCACAGCGTGAGGCGGAGGAAAGCAACCTTCGGCGACACGGGAGAGTGACCCTCTGCGAGGATGACCTTTGGTGCACGGCTTAAGAGAGGGACGCGGGGTGGCCAAACCTGGGCGCGCAAGCCGCTGCCCCCGCTCGCACTCAGCCATCTGGGGGGCCATGCGTGCCCGCACTCTTGGTCACGTCAGCGAAAGGTCACTCTCACGTCTAGTCGAAAGATGGCCGCCGAGCCGCGATGTCGACGAACCCCGGCCTTGGACGCCATGTCGTGCACCCTCTTCGGCGTGCCCACCACGACGTGGGCGCCCGACGGGCCCAACTGCCTCAACTTCTCGCTCCTCGCCGCCAGGGGCGCTGCGGGAGCCACCCCGAGGGGCCTTCCGACCCTGCAAGACCAAGGCAGCCCAACTC